GCTTGCGAGAAGTGAGTGCTTCACAAAAGTAGGAGTCGAATAATGAACAAACGAAAAGCTTGCTATCAAAAAGCTGGACGGATTACTTTTCGCTTTCCGTGCAGCTTGACTTCTGAAGGTTCAGGAGAAATGGTTTGGTCGGTCCTCCCAATTAGAAGCGCCTGGACATAAACAAAGCGATCCTGGCTGAGCAAGGTGTAGAATTAGAAGTCTTCTCGGCACACCATGTGTACAATATAGATTCATGAAGATACATTCAGTTGACCTTTTCACAGGGCTTGAAAGACCGCTTTCGTCTTTCAGCATATTGTCTGCAAGTAGTTTTCTGGTTCAGTAAAATGTCGACGATCTACTTTTGTCTTCTTGGTCAGGGAAACAAAAAAGCTCAAATTGGCTTCAACTTGGTGAAGCCACAGTTTTTTGCCATCCAGAATCCTGGCTGCTTGAAACATAAACCAGGTCTTTCAGCAGTCACACCAAGTGTTGCAGCACCCGTGCCAGCCTTATTTAGATCAAACTGAGTGTCACGTGATGCACCTGCCCACAGCGTGGGGCAGAGCGAGGAGGTGGCACGACTAAGATGCCCTCCCTCTCCCTGCTCTGCTCGCAATAATCGGAAACCCGTTAGTTTGCGTTTTTACAAAGATTTGTCTTAAACACTCACACTTCAATTTCATGATGGCCAAAGGCGTGGAGTTGTACGTACGAGGTTGGTTGATCTATACCAACTGCATATGAACGAACGCGATCAATGAACTAGGAAGAAGAACCTTCCAATACCCTCAAAACATAGATGTCGAGTCAGTCTACCTAGCAGTGGGATCTGACAGCAAACCGCTCAATATCTCCAGCCATTTCTATGCCTCGTGGCATTCTGAAAAGGCCTGCCACATTCAGCGCAATGCAAGTTTGGGACAGGTCCAATTTGACATGCGTCCTTCAATTTTTGCCGGCCATTACTGTAGCTGTAGCTGCTAAGAACCATCTGTAAAGTTCAGATGTGGAGTTCAGGATGCAAGAGTAGGTGACCACATAGAATCTAACGACCCAAATATAGCATGAGATGAACCACCGGAGATCCATGATCCATGGGACATGCGATATCATGTGATACAATACACTAAGTCACTAGTTGGGCCCATGCTGAAAGAAAAGCGTGTGTTTTGAGAAGTCTTAAACCAGCTACAAGCAGAAAAGGGATAAAGTCGTTGCATAGTACAGTAAATGTGTTGACAACCCTGATGTTGCCAATCCAACCATGCTAGATACAGCAAGTGGTACCCCACCAAATTTTTGCGACATCAGTTCAAGTTGGAGTGTACTTGTGATAAGAAACTTATCTTTCAACAGCTTTCAAGAATGTTCAGGTTGGTACAAGTCGAGCTGGTCTTCAAGTGTTCAATGCATAGCTCCCGGCCTTGCGACTGCCTCCTGGCCAGTTAAAACCATTTGCAAACGCTCAGCCGCATGACTTGGATAAAGTGTGATCTGAGCTGAAAGTAGGTGGATTCCGTGCTGCAGGATCTTCAGGTAGAGAGATGTGCAAGACTCTGCAGCTGTCATTGCACTTATGAAGGGGATGAAAAATATAGTCATACATCATACCCATTGTACCTGTGTATATAAGTTTGATATTCACCTCCAGGAAGAAACTACGAATGCATTTGCATGAATGTGTCTTCTGTGGTATCTGCGTGAATGCGAGGGAGCCCGCCATGTGTTGTAATGGTTTGACTTGCAAATGTTACGGTGAAGAATCATGAGTCGCAGTAACGACTGAGTTCGGAGGCTACTTGGGATATTCTTTAAACTGTGGGGCCCTACACGGCCGTGTTTGCTGAGCCAGCAAGATGCGCGGCAGGTGCATGTCCCAGAACAGCCGAACTGTCACATCCGATCCTTGCCGGTCACATCTTTGTCACTGCAAACATGCAATTTGCAACACGCATTTGCTCTTCTGAACAGAAATGTCGGGACAACTGTGACATGAAAGAGTTCGTTCTGGTTGTGAACCCACTTGCTGTGAAATATGGGTGGTTCCTTGTTGGTTCCCTACTGCGCTGTTGGATCGCCCACAAAGGGTGTATGTTTGGAGCGGTTCCTGCTCAAAATGTTCTTGTCGAGTGTCGAGTATCGCAAAAATTGATTTTAAAGAAATGTGTAAGGTTGGAGTGACTCCGTATGCCTCTAAATGTGAAGAGTTTTTGTTAAAGCGAACGAACGGGTTCTTCTTTGCTGTTGGAGATTTGGGGGTTCTGCTTTTTATGTTGAGGTGTCCTTTTCTTATGTTGAGGGTTCCGTATGTTGTGCTGAGGGTGGTGGTTGCCGGCTTCACGCTGAATGTTTTCTTTTATCCCACCACCATGAAGAAAAGTCCCCCACCGAGCACCACCACCGCCATCACAACAACAACTAGTCAAGCAATCTGTCACCTACCTAACCTATACATAGCCCAGGCTGCAATTTCTAGTTATTGGAGCCCCAAACCTATGTCGACCACAACAAAGTTCACAGAAACTGACTTGTCCCGAACCCATCTGATGAGTGAAGTGTACTCCAGCAACAGGCGCAATTCCTTGGCAAGTGTACTCAGGCGTTCTTCAAGCGACAACGGGGCTTCTTTAAAGCAACTTCAAGATTTGTGAGATCCAGCTGTCAAGTCCGAAGTTTGAGGAGGCCGTGCAAAGGAGTGGTTGGCCTTTTAGTCTTGGATGACATGTGCTGCCTCAGTTGCAAAAACCAAGGCAGAGGCAGGAACAATCTGATTTTGATGGCGCTGCCCAACATCTATGCTCCGGCCACATTCAAGATAAAGAGGCAGGATCCCTAGAGGCACAGACACACACACAAACGGGCCTCGATTGGGGACACCGCCGCAATGGCGGCTGACGTGCTGGCACTCAAACATGATGCGCCGGAAGGTGCAAAGGGCTCCACACACAAAGGGCAACTGTTGCAGCAAGCGGCAGGGAACACCGCCAGATCAATTGCAACATTGTGCAAGCAAGGCCTGCATGTGTTTTTTCAATATGGCGCGGTGGAAATGCTCGTCTAAACCATCCTGCAAACCCAGGCCCGAAGGCTGTTGCCACATGAGTTTGCACTCATGTATATAAGAAAATTGAAAAGTTTGTTTCAAGCTCCAACAAGGTTGTTGTTCGAAGCGCAAAATCCAACTTCCAACACCTCCCATGAGAGTTCTAGCTGCGGCGTGCACCAGCCAAGGTCTAGCAGGACCGCTTGCATGGCAGCCAACACCACCTGCCTGCATGAAGAAAACGACACATACTAACATAATAACGAAAACGAAAACACATAACAAGAAAACGACACGAAAAGTTATCCTTTAGTTTAACAACATTGACCAAGAAAAAACCATAGGCCACACCAACCTGACCGAGGAAAACTTACTGTTGGTCTCCTGGCTTACCCGGCAAACTGTGCCATCCACCACACATAGCGGGCGCCCCATCCATTCACGAAGGCACTGCGGCAGTGTCAACTGGTCAAACCAAAACTTTGCGCCCCTTTTGCTGAGCACGTTGCCCACGCCAGACTTCACGCTGACGTCCGGTACCAGGCTTGCTCACAGCCAGCACTGTTCCACCTCCTTTTACAGTGGAAGCCAACCCCACCTTCCATGACCTCAATTCTTTGCAAGCCAGCCGGATATATTCGGAGCGTGAGCCAAACCTTAAGCAACGCAGACCACCAATCAGGGAAGCAACCTGAGGCGTCTGCAACCTGTCCGCAAAATCAAGCGTTCTGAAAATGATCCTAGCTAGAACATGACTTTGTGCAGCGATGTGCGACTTTGGACTTTGGGCAGGGGATGCCGGCCGGTGCATTGTATAGGAAATTCAGAGCTAGGAACACAGCACGCGCAAAGGAGGCAACAATCGTCCACTTCCAAGCGGCCATGTCAGGGGGCTTCAGCGCCATGGGCACACTTGGTGACAAAGGGAAATCTCTCGCTGGCAGCTGTGAGGACAAAGACCTCCAAGCTGCCACTGCTGAACAAACTTGGAGAAAGTTCCCTGGCGCCGCACTGACCAGCAGTGCTGGCCGACACATCAGCCAAGTCCGGTCGCTGGGCACGGACTGTACTGCTGTGACCTGGCACTGTACCAGGCATGCTTTCTGCGTCTGTTACGTCTATGACTTGCTGGTGACCTGTACAGCATAGGGCAGCCCACCCAAAAGGACTAGCAACCAAACCCATGCAAGCTGCTGAATCTAAATTGACCGCAAAATGTTAGTGTCATTGAAAACACACAACAGGCATAAACATTAAAATAACAAGAACCTGCTGCGTAAAAAAAGGAACCTTTGCCACAAAACCACACCTGCCCGCCCAGCAACATAAAAGAAAAGCACCCTCAGCATTGAGCAAAAATGCTACCTGATAGACCAGCCTTTAGAAGGTGTGTCAGGTTGGCGTGGCCCTTTGCTGCGCTTCCAAGAAAGCTTTGAAAACACTTGACTCTGCCTTTACAGCGCCTTTCAACATACTGTTTTGCATACCTCAATGTACACTTACCATGCAGGTATAGCGCACTGTTACAATCAGTGCTTTGTGGTTTTGAAGGCGCTCTTCCAATCCTGCGCTTCCATGAAACCTGCCAAGCCAAAAAACAAAAGGGTTCAAACACAACGTGTACAGCTGTCCATGAGTTGTGCTGATTGCGCACAAATTCAAGTTGAGCGAACAACTGCTGAATATGATGGGAAATCTCACTTAAGGGTCATTTTCAAGATAGGTGCTCTAAAGCCAGAGTGCTAGATGTTCATCGATTTTCCATATCTCCTGTGTACTCAAGGTTCTTGGAAGAACGTCAACGTGACAAGCTGCCCCAAGCACGGCTCTCAGGTGTTTTCTTTTGCACTTGAAGACGCCAGGAGACAGCGTCCGGTCTTTAGCGCCCAAGCCTTCCAATGAAGACGGGCGGATCAAGGCTCAGCCCACTTCGGCGCGTCCCGCACGGCGGGGGCATTGGGGCCAGGAGGTCTTCCAAATGAATACCTGATTTTGAGAGGCAGTGCTCACAACTTGTTGCTTCGAGCAAGAAAGTCTTGAGATGGGGGGACACACACTCTTGTGGTTGGTGGTCGCGAAAGAAGACGCCAGTGCATCTGCAAAGAAGGCGCACCGAAACTGGGCAACTGGGTCGCAAAAGTGAGACGTTCGGTTTACCCCTGCGAGGCAGTCAGCTCTACTTGAGCGAAATGCCAATCCGCCGGCACTGTTGTAGAAAATGGACTCACAAGCCCAGCTGGGGAGCAACTCGAAAGCTCGGGGTAGGGACTAGTGTGATGCTGCGGTGAGTCACTCAAAACACAACGCAACAAACACCAAAGTAGCCGCATGAAAATGGTCAGACTGGGACATCGAATGACTCAGTCTATCTGCCAGGGGACCTAGAGGAACCTTACCAACTAATTCTGTTAAGAGTTCAACTGCTCGGCCCCAGGCCCCAGCCAATTGTATGGAAACAAAGAAGTTCTTACTTACATACATACATACATACATGCACACATACATACATACATACTTACATGCATACATACATACATTACATAATTACATACATACATACATACATACGTACATACATTCATACATACATAAATACATACATACATAACAGTACAAAACATTACATAACATTACAAAGCATAGCATAGCATTACATACAATTACATATCTTTACATAACATTACATCACATTACATAGCGTTACATAGCATTACATAGCAATACCTAGCATTACATAACATTACAAATCATTCGATATCATTACATAACATTACATAGCAATACATAGCATTGCATAACATTACATAACAATACATAGCATTACCATACGTACATACGTACATACCTACATACATACATACATACATACATACATAGCATTACATACCATCGCATTACATAGCATTACATCACCTTACTTCACATTACATAACACAACATTACATTACATTACATTGACATACATACATTACATTACCTTATATACCCAAAAATCAAAAACATCCCTAAGCAACAAAAGCAGCAAGCAGCCTTTTGTCGTATTGCTTTGAGAGGCGCATGGGCCCTCCCCAGACCCCATCCTCGAAGGTCACCTTGTGACCGTTTCACGTTAAAATCCAGGGTGTGGCAGGCAGTTTCACTCACCCGCTCCGGCCTGACACACCTTATGCCCCTACGGAGTCCAGGGCCAGCGGCACCTGTCAGGAGACCAGGGGCCTGGGGGCAGGAGGACTCCCACCGGATCCGGTCACGGGATCTTGGGTGGGACACTAGGAGAAGTTTGCGCTCGACAGAAGACGAGTCGCCAATGGAAAGAAAACAGATTGTTCGGAGCCGGTAGCCGGCGCTCCGGTGAAAATCCTTGAAAGTCCGGATGCGTCAATTCAGCCGCCCAGGTGTTGAATTCCCGGGGTATGTGGCTAGGAGCCAAATTGCAGCCCTCGCTCCATCAGGAGGGCGGCGGTGTGTGGTTTCTTGGGCGAGAGGTTCAGTAGGCTGAAGATGTTGCCTGAGTTGTCACTGCCTATACAGGTCGTCGGACTCTGCCTAAAGTCGTGCCCTGTTGCGCGATCAGGTGTTTGCACAAGAGCAAGGTGCCCAACAGCTCAAGTGCCGCGATTCGCTTCTGGGGGTTGCCATCTTTGAATGCCCATGGACGGTTTGATCTGGGAATGGAACCAGAAAACTTCCGCCTTCGAGGGATCGCCACTACACCATCCCCCCACATAGGCATCACCTTGGACTGAAGCACTAGCATCACTGCATCCCCACCATGAAGACTTTGGTAGGAATGGGGAGTATACTGGTCGAAGGGAAGGGTGAAGAGCTCCTTCAGGAGGTAGGCCAACATGCGGACCACCTTCAATGGGTGTCCCATTGTTCTTCCAGGCCCAGAAGGGCTGCAGCATGGATTTGGTTAGTGGGCAACAGGCTGTGGCCCACTGGATGCGGCCCCTGGCTTTCTCAATGGCCTTGGCAGACATTGCCACCCCGTTGATCAAGTCTTCCAAGACAGCCGCGACTTTGACGTGCTTCGGGGCCGCCATTTGGACCCGTGGGATTGAGGGGTGGATCACAAATCCCAACCAGGCGTTCCACCATTCGTCCTCACCCACCATTCGTCCTCAAGTTGGGCGATTTGGAACCGCCAATCTTGGGGCAGGACTTTAATGCGTCTGTGCAGGAGGATCACTGGCAATCTGGAGCTGGCCACTGCCAGGCCAGCGAGTCACCCGAAGCAAGGTCAGAGGCACCTGGAACAGATGGGGGGCGGTCAGGTGCATCCAGTTTTTGCGCCGCGCGCAGCCAGTGAATGGCATGGACACAGTCCAAGACGGTGGGTGCGGTGGTCCGTTCCTTAGTGTTCTGTTGGATTTGGGCATTCGCTCCCCCCGGTGGAGCGATCGTAGATTGCGCGCGGACCTTGTCACCTTCATCAATACCTGCTAGGGGCCCCGGACAGAGTTCCGATGGGGAGCATTGGCACCATCGGGCCGCTTCAAGTTTGGTCAGTGGTCCCACGGTCATTCTCAATGGGACCTCCTCTATGAATCGTGGACCTATGGCTTTGGCAAAGTGTAGTTGCGTCGACCCTTTGCCCCGCGCTCAAGACGTGAGGGTAGCGCCAATCCGGGTCGCCCGTGAGTGATGAGGTCCAAGTAGAAAGGCTGTCCATCTGCGATGGTGTGATTGATGCCTGGTTGTAGAATCTGCCTCAGGTTGCCTGAGGATGGTTCACCGTGTCAGTAAGTGGTTGGGTGGGTGCCCGGGCGCGGCGGCCTCCCAGGTGGGTCCCCACCAAGTCCATGGGACCAGAGTTGCGGTCACGCGGCACTGTTACAGATTTGACCCCAAGTCAGAAGACGTGTGTATCCGCGAATCCCTCATGCGACTCCAAGTGGCATTCAAAACCCGGCCCTTGCATCACCGCCGAGAAGCGGATAGGCATCGGCAACGAAGCGATGTCTGCGGCCTTCGCCTTGGTCTCAGGTAGCCCCCATTCTGCAGGGGGCGGTCGCTTGACCGGTCTGGGAGGCTCCGGAGCTTAGCTCTTGGCTGGCGGGACCCCCCCCCCCTTTCCATGGAGTCAGCAGCTGCCATGGGATCCGCCGCGTCTACACTATAGCCCGCCGGTGCGGGGGTAAACCCGGGCGCTCACTGGCATCATCATCCGCTGCAGCTGAGGCCGCCGCTGGTAGTTGAGGTTCTGCAGAAATGGGCCATTCCATGGGTGGTTCAGCCACATCTAACATAGGGGCAGTCTCAGCCTCGGCCACGGGCGCATCAGCCGCTGAGGAGGGTCGAGGCCCCCCGGCAGCTGGGCCAGAGGCACCAGGAACCGGCGTCTTCGATGTTTTGGAATTGCACCCGGAGGTCATCCATGTGCCGGGTGAGGTCCCGGATTTTGCCAAAAAGGGAGAGGCCTGCTGACGCCTCATCTTCAGCATGGCGGAGTGCAGTGGACGCCACGTCCGCCTCCTGGTTGAGTCGATCCATGTCAGGGCTACTGACTGTAGCCGTGTCCTCAGCCCCGTCGGCTGGTTGAGGTTCGGTGAACGTCTCAAGCATCACATACTCGGATTCCAAAGGGTGCGCCATAGCGATGCGCGTCGTCAGTGAAAAACCTAAGGATCACGAGTTTCACAAGATCACCGTTGGCAACTCAAACGAGGTTGCCACCCAACTTGAGCCAAAATGTCCCGGTGGGACCTTTTAGTGAATTTATGTGAACATAAAACTTGCAACCGCAAGCTGGTATAAAGGAAGACACAGAAGGTAAGGCCCCTTTAACGGCGGCCTCGGGGCCCTGGGGCCTTACGGTGCCTTCCTTCTCTGTCTTCTTCATACATGTGGTTCCCCGACTTCAACTTCGTTGCAGCAAAAAGCCTTGAACTGAGGTGTGGCGCAATTGCAGCTGGCGCTGCGTCGCAGGCGCAGTGAGGTAATGACCTCGCATCGTCGCCGAATTAATGGCCTTTGTGACCAAGAACGGAGTTGAATCTTCTGCGAGTGCAATGAACTTCTGTATTCGAACGATGGATCTTCATGGGTCCAAAGGTTGCTGGTCCATAGACTCCAGGAGTCTTTTTTAGGGATGTGATGTGGATGTTTTGTATTTTCTGCAGGTAGGAGGGTTCACTCACCACCTACATGTCAAGTTGTAGGGCTGTTTGTTCTGCATCTTCAGAGAGTACAAACAAAGAAAGCTGGAACCCTTCCTGAGACCGCATTTAGACTTAGACTCACATATACACACATCATGTGTAAATATGTATAAACCAGTGCTGCTAGAGTAGTCTTTTGGACTTCATAAGTGTGGCCATTCGAATTCCTCCGCTCTAGACTACGATTTGCTTCACTCAGAGCGGACCTTATGGAGTGGATGGAGGGACGAACACGAGCTCTTTCTTGATTCAAACCTGCTAAAAGGATCTAAAAGGCACTTGAGAAGAAAAGCAGGATCAAAACATTCTAAGAATCTGAGACCATCTTCCCATGGATGCCCCAGGATTTCCTTCTCCTGTCGGGCTTCCTGGATTCCTCTTGTTATAACCTAACAGTCGAGCGGCTATCGATTTCACTTCAAGAAGTTGGAGAGCCACTGGAAGGCTTCAGCATAGCCCATGCCTCAGCCGAGATCCCGAAAGAGTCGCACTTATCTGGACTCTGGAACAAACTGGTTTATACAAAAGATATATTACAAAAAAATAATCAATTATCAAACGCCAACATTCTGCAATTGACAGCCTTTTGCTCTTGCCAAAGATACGCTTCACCACACTCACCATGAAGAGTTCCACCGGTCGTACGCTGCTGTCACCTTTCTTCGCCTCGCAAGCACGTGCAGGGCGGTTTGCACACAAACAATGCAGTGTTTGCATGTACATCTCGTCTATCATAATCAGGCCTGTTATTGCTGGTTTTGCGAGGAGGGTGTGTTCTTAATGCCGCCCTGGGGTCCCGTGCGTCACGGCCATAGGTCATGTGGCTGAAGAGCCTCAGCTTGGGGTCTTCACACCCCAAGTTTCAGAAAGAGCGGCTGAGGCAACTGTAGCAGCTGTGCTATGCTGTGCTCGTGTTTCAACGCCTGAAGATGCTTGAAGCATGTCGAAGCAAACACCGTGTACCATCTCACCCAACATACCCCAACCAGCTGGCCTGTACTCATTTCAACCAAACAAACATTGCAATTCCTTGTGGAACCAGCAATGAAACTCAAAACATTGTAGAATCCCCCCTGTCTGAGCCCAAGCCCGGCAAGATCCCACACCCCAGGGCATTTCGCAGCTCGTCCTCAGAGGCCGCCGTGGGGATGTCGATCTTGTTGCCAAGCCTGGCGGAAATCTTTCGGCAGGAAGGAAAAACTCAGTTCTTCCGGTCATGCATGTAGCACTAAGCCAAAGAAGAGTTAAGAGTTGTGTGCTCTTCAAATTTAGGATTGAATTTGGAGTCGGAAAGGTCTATTAAGTCACTAAATTATGGTTGTAAGTTTCAGATCGTTTCTGAGGCTAAAGCCTTCACAATGAAATGGCCGCGGAAGCAATGTCAGAAAATACTCCAATTATGTGTCTGAACCGCCTCTCAAACCGCCCCTGCAACCGCCTCTCAAACCTCTAAGTTCGTGTGCATTCCCCAAACATGGCCAGCTCCACACCACAAAGGGGACATTGGCCAGTGCCTGTGGCAATTTCACAAATCATCACATCTCTAGATGCTTCTTGGTCCAGCTGAAGACTCTCACGAAGTACCGCGCAAAGGTACTCAAAGTCAACAACACTCCACTTCTTGCCACCTGTCGAATTGCTTCCTTTCCTTGCTACGATGGCCCTGTCTAAAGGAAACCCCTGGTTTTTGTTTGCGAACCTTCATCCCTCACTGACCGTCCAAAGTTTTGGCACACCTGCTCGTTAAGAAGGCCGTTCAACTCCTCGTTGGCTTCCTGGCCGCCATCATCCAGTCGATTTATATTTACAAAGCACCACCATTGTAAACCCCATCAGTTGCCAGTATTAGAGTATGCTGAGCAAGGGCTGATGAGCTCAGATGGGAAAAGCGTTGGAGAGACTAGGAAACAGCTCACCCTGAGAGGCCTGGAAAAGAGTTGGAAATGTATATACATTATTAGGTTGGAGGCCTTTGCTATTGGGTTGCAGGATGTTGCAGGCCATCGCCAGTAGTCGCTATTAGGTTCGAGGCCATTGCTATTGTATGGTATATATATATTATATATATTAGTATAATTAATCATGTGGGCCCACCCGACTCACAAGGAAACACCTCTTGACCAGGGATTGCCATTCAACCCTACCCAAGTCCGATGTTGGGAAGCCAGCAAAACTTCAACATTGGTTGTTTTGGACGTTTCGGATCAGGACTTTACCACTATAGCTTTCTTGACAGGTATGCTGCATATGTATGAACAAGAAGCTACAGTACTAGGAGCAAAGGGCATCGCTACTAGGAGCAAGGACGCTACTAGGGGCTCCTTGCCTTACTACTAGGAACAAGAAGTTGCTAGGAACAAAGGGCGCCGCACGTGTTGGATCTGGACCAGTGGGCGATTATAGATATGATGTATGCATGCTGGATATTGCATGACCATGTCAAGCGAGTCGCTATTTTGCCGTTCATTCAGCAGCTTGCAAAGCCACTTTGAACCCTGTGGCTGCAAAGCCTGGAAGCGGGTGCGGTCTGCAGCATCCACCAGAAAAATGATGCCATCCACCTGGTCTCGTGAGCTTCGAGAAATTGGCAGGTGCTGAATTTGATACGACACAAGTCTTTTGTCCTACCTGAGTGACTTACCAAATAAAGGCAAAGTACGCTGACTTCTCCCCCCAGCTTCCCACACATTCAGCCCGCTGTAAGGGGCATCGCAGTGGAGAGGGCTGACCGAATCCTCTATGGAAACAAGTTGACATGGTGTGGCTGTGGCTGATCTGTTTCCAAAGCTGTTCAAAACGGAGTGCTTCTGCCTCTGTAATCTGTGTGTCTGACCGATCGGGATGGATGCATTCAGAGATTCTTGTTACTAGTGTCCTCATTGGAAGAATCATGCAAAGACGACAAACAAAGAACTCCCGCCCATCAATTTCAATGCAACCCTGTGTTCCTTAAACTTTCCCAGCAAAAGTCCACGCAGAAATGCCACTGCAAAACGGGTCATCTTCAGCAATGAAGCTGTTTTGGCAAGTACAAGATAATAAGCTAGTACAAGTAGATTATTAGTAACATTAGTATAGTAAGTATCTCTCTGTCCCTCTCTGCCCACCCTCTCTTAAAGCTCAGCTGGGGCTCCATGCCGTGGCAAAGTAGTCCTTCCAAATGCGCCGGGCAGTCTCGTGGCCTCCCAGGTCATAGGTGCGGAAGCGAATGTTCTTGATCATCAGCTCCTGCATTCGGAGCGGACGGATCTCGTTGTTTCCCGCTCACGGATCTCACGGAGAAATTCGCGGTGCAAGGTGCCCACCGTTGGAAATAGGGTGGACAACAGCCAACGTATCTTTTCCAGAACATTGGCTTCAATCGGTTGTGTCATTTAGCCTTCACTAGAGCGAGGACACCTCGTGTTCTTTGTGGATCCCGTGTGGGGGGGACCCACTGAGAAACACCACACTTGCGATCGGGCAAAAAACACCTGGGCAAGTCTCCAGGAAGTAAAACAGATCTCTAACAATCTCTAGACTTAGACTCTAGGTCATTTGGGGGATCAAGAAGGGCCAATTCATGCTGTTTTCATCATACTGGTGAACTTGGTTTGGCCAAACTCCAAGCCGACACCAATCGGCCCCTTCCCCTCTCCTCGGAGTGAGGGTGAAGCGTTGGGACATGAGTTGCAATGCGGTCATCCTAATGGCCAGGTGGACAAGCAGCGATCTGACCAGTACTTTCTCTACCTACTGAAAAGTTCTGGAAACCGGTTTCAAGCTTGGCAGATCCACAGCTCAGTGCCTTCAGCATGTGGAGAAGGGTTGTCTTGCCAGCATTGTCCAGTCCTGCAGCCAATGGTGATCAGGCTCACCCGCAGGAAGCCCCGTGCAAAGCTCAATGCGCCCCTTGCAAACCTGTTGTCATGTCAAACATGCTCAGTCTTAAGATAAACCGTCTGATCCAGCACAAGTCGAGGACTCCGTGAAAGCAAGTCAAAACAACACTTTGGTGGGCACTACCAGGCCAATTGAACAAAAGCAGCAAAGGTACTCTTTCACCTCGTCTAGCCTGAACGGATCACCAAAAATGATTCTTTCCATGCAACTGTCATCAATGTTCATCAATGCTCTCTCAGGCCAGCCGTAGCACTCAGAACATGTTTGTAACCCACAACCGCCGGAGTGGTCCCAAAAACAAGATCTTCGCATTCTTGTTGCTGAGGCCGAGGTAGCCCAACACGTCGAAAAACCTGAAAGGCACCCAACCATGGACCGGGCCAGGCTTTAGTCCAAACAAACTCGAGTTCATCCCACTACTACTAGGTTACTAGGAGCAAGGACGCTACTAGGGGCTCCTGGCATCGCTACTAGGAACAAGAAGCTACTAGGGGCTCCTGGCCGTACTACTAGGAACAAGAGTTCATCCAAAAAAAACAAAATACTTTAACTTTACGTAACTCGAGTGATCCCCACCCTGAAAGGCGGAGGGGAGGAGAGGAGAGGAGAGGACAAAGGAAAAGCTCTGACAAAGGACAAAGGAAAGCAGGACAATTGTTTAATGGAAAAAAGAGTTCAGTCCAAGACCAAAGGCTTTTGAATAGCACCAGCCCGAGGACGAAAACAATTTTCACGTATGGTGGGGTTCACGCAAAGCCATCAACTCTGATA